GAGGGAGATTCGGCGAAATATTACCCGAAGTGATGAAAGCCTCTCGGGAAATATCATCACTGAGGGTAATATTTCGCCGAATCCCCCGAGCGGAGGGTCTATAAATGATATATTATACTGAAAATTAAAAGCCTTCAAGTTGAGAATTTAATAAGGGAGTGGTCATTATTGATGGGGAGGGGGAGTTGGGAAATGGGAGGGGGGCAAATGAAGTTTTACCCTTATAAATAGGGGGGGTCAAAAAAGTTTTAACAGAGAGAAAGGGGGGGTCGTAAACGTTTTTGAACTTAAATACCATGTCTAGAGTTCTGATTTCTATAATCACAAATAGCAAAAAAGAAGACTCTGAAAATGCAATTTCCAACGATCTAGAGACTCAAACTCTTCAAAATTTCCCTGCCCGGCGCTAACCATGGTAGCGTATCGCGATCGTTGGAGTCGGGCCCACTAAGTTTAATAAGCTTTCTACCCCCTGAGTGACCCAGTTGTGGTATTTACAGAAACATACCATGCAAGTACACTTAACTGATCAGATTCGGTCTATCAACGCACAATGTAACGCTGTATATCCAAAAATCTGTTTCAGAAAATGCTCACATTTCAGTTCTAGGGGTGGAAAAATACAAAAAATTTTCTGGGGGAGAATCCCGGGACCCCCCTACTAGTACATACGATACCACACCAAACTTTTTGTCACCAACAACCATCTGTCATCTCTCCACACTCAATATAGTATGGTCCCTTTTTGTAGATGCTCCCCCCTAGACAAGTTTTTAAAAAAAACCTGTGTTCAAATCATTTCGCTGTATGAAGATGGATCATGGGTTAGGGTTATGGTAGGATTAGGACAGATTGTCCTAATATCTAACTTTACCTGCAACGCACACCTGTTTCATTGCTGTTAATTTTTCAATCCACACTGGGGGGGGGGTCAGAAAAGTTTCTACTTTTATGAGGGGGGAGGCACAAAAAGTTTGCCTTTAGTCTGGAGGGGTGGTCAAAAAGTTTTCAATCCTTATTTTCCCCATTTCCCAACCCCCCTCCCCATAAATAATGACCACTCCCTAAAAATGTGACACATACCTTCGTGAATACGATGTTTTATTTTCGGATTAACGCAAGTATCGTCGCTTTTCTTTCGAATCACATATCGTTTGGAATATTAATGACAACATGCATATGTTTCAAAATTTGCTTCAAAATTTTGAAAAAGCCCCAGGCTTTACGTTTAAATTTTGTTTATTCATCACTCATCAATACTATTTAATATATTTTGTCGGCCATGTGGTTGTCATGCGTGTTGTCTCGCGTGGTCTACGCGAATAATGTTCCACCCCATGTTCCCCGGGGAACATGGAGTGGAACATTGTCAAAAGGAGCGCAGACTCCATAATTGATGACGTAAAGCGTCATATCGCAATAAATTTCATGCTCACGTGGCACAAACTAAGCTTCCTGATTGGACAATTTGAATTTGAGGTACTGTATAATATTAAATGATATATTATACCAAAAGTTAAAGAACTCACTAAGTTCAGAATAAACTTTATAAAAACTTGCTGAATATTATAAACTACGCGAATACAATTTTTAGTTTCTTAAGTGTACCTGAGTTTTTGACGTTTCCTCTTGAAAATATTTGAGCATGTATCCTTTGGATCGTTAAAGGTAACATACGTCTTGAAAATGTTTTGTTAAATCAAATATTCTGTACGAAAATACGAAATTACAAACAACAGCTCGCGAACGCCATATTGTTTCAGAGCGTGGTGTCCACGCGTGAGCGTGGGATACTATAATATCCCACGGTGGATCTGCCGTGGGATATTATAGTATCCCACGCTGGATTGCAAAATCATGAATTTGAGTGAAATACCGTAAAAAATCACATTATCACGTGGTACAAATGCTGTTTTTTCATTGGACAATTTGAATTTGAGGTATAATATTCTCCGATAATCACCTCGCCTTCGGCGAATAATTGTTAAATATTCCAAACCTTATTACGACTTTATTCCCTTATTTCGTTCAATTTTTCTGTGGTTTTCCTTTCTGACGCACAGTAACATGTAACCAATACAGCTTCTGGAAATGGCCCTTCTCTTGGAGAAGCATGATTTGTTCCCATGCCATTTCCATCAGAGTCTATAAGTGCAACCGTTCTGTTCATTCCCTTTATCGTTTTCGTCCCTTAATTTGAACCAGATTATATTTTGACTTTACTCTCCCATCTTTCTCGATTGCCTTCAATTTGAACTCTGTCAACAATTCCTTATTGGGCACATCGTTAATATTTGTTTTAGTAATTGCAAGGAAGGAATCAGCAAAAATTTGGAATGAACTATAATACGTTACTGAAGGAATAATCTTGACATCAACCTCAGTAAACCCGACGTCACTCAATAATTGTCTTGCAGAGCCCTCTTCAGCATAATGAACCTTGGCTGACACAGGCCTACCGAGTGCATTTTCAAACAAGCGTTTATCAATGTCATCATCAAGTTCTGCTATACATTGTATAGCAATCAAACCTCCTTGTTTGAGACATCGGAAAGCCACTTTAACATAAGTCGCTTTATCCTTATTGTTCAACCAGTGATAAGCATGATTACTGAAATGAATATCGTAGTAATCTTGATTATCGTTTAGAAATTTAGACTCACTAGTTCCAACGAGAAAACTTGCGTTCGAAACCGTCTTCATATTTTCTTGAGCAAGCTTAACCCTTGCATGGTCTGGGTCAATACCAACCACTTCACCGAGATTCCCAACTTTCTCTGCGATATATTTTGTTAGTTCCCCTGTTCCACAGCCCATATCTAACACTTTTTTTACAAGCTTAATGTTTAAAGTTTCGAGGAAACGACAACCCATATTGTATTGAGCTGAGGATAAAGTTGTAATTTCTTAAAATTGTAATTTCTTAAAAAATGCCCTGTGAGTAGAGATATTATGACATTATCAATTCATCGTCTGTCCGTCTTAACAGCAATAGTTCACAATCAAATTTACACAACAAAAATGCCCATGTTACCCACAAAAACCATTTAAAATAATACAACGAATTTCACCACAATATGATTATCTTACTAAGACAGCTGTGGATTGAGAGAGATATACTACCTGCAGCAGGGAATAATGGTGGATCCTGATTCCTGGCATCTAGGAATAGGATCCCAGAAAATTTTCAGACATGGCTAATGCTAATTAAAGGCCCATTTCCACTCAAGAAAAATTTCCACGGACAGAAAATTTTCCGAAAATATCATTGTTAAAAGTTGAAAATTTTCAACTTCAAAATTTTCTCAGACGGAAGATTTGTGTCGGAGATTTATCATAATGATAAATTCGGACGTGTTTAAGAATTTACTCATATAGTAAATTCAAAAGTGGAGCTCATGCTGAAAAAATCTTAGCCTTAGGACTACTGCTGCCAAAGTATCTACGGCAAGTCACAAGTATTTACGATATTTATCAAAAGGACAGAATCACTACACAAAACTGTTCAAAATTGGGTGTTTATTTCACCGGAATTAAATACTTCCGAATAATATCGAATGTTAACTATATCCACTGAAATGTCTTAGGTACTATTTCTATAATGTTTTTACTGTCTGTCTCCAACATTACTACAAACATTCATTATGTTTACATGATGGTTGTTTTACAATCCCTGCACACTAATTATATTTTCTAGTTATATAATTAACTTAATAAATGACATGCTACTGATGCACTGTTCTAATCAATGTTATTGCAGGCATGGATGGCCATAGCCATGGCTGTGAGGGTTGGATTGCAGGACGTGCCTGTAGGAATGACACCACAGGTACCAAGGTAGACATTATCAAAACCCCACACCTTTGAGTGGGTATCCACAACACTGTCTTCATCACTTGTTCCCATGCGACATGTGCCCTAAATAGTAAACCATAAATTATTAAAGCTACTCTTAAGAAATATTATTCAATTCTCTGTTATCTCTTATTCCCGTCAACCTTCTCTTGTGCCCATTCTCCCAACTTATCTCATCCGTCTCTCTAATCATATTTTCTAATGATATAATTAATTTGATAATTGACATGCTATACTAATGCACTGTTCAGTTTTTTTACAGCTGATCGATGCACTGTTTATTTCAGGCATGGATGGCTATAGCCTATAGCCATGGCTGTGAGGCCAATTAACTTTTCTCACGCTCGGTTTGTACACAATTTTGGGGGCACTGCCAATCCCATGTCTCAGGATGTACGCAACGCGAAATTCGACTTTTTATTACCGTAGTTGTGTGTATAATGGTAGATCAGTTAACTTTAGAAAGTCAATTTTCACATTGTTTTAATTGTCCTGATTCTTCGACGATGAAACACAGTGCTCCAAAATGGCGGATATTGGCCCGCGTGGGAAATGTTAATTTAAGCTAGTCAAGTGCGAATCCAATAACGCGTTCTGCATCGGGATATTTTGCAGTTGAACCACCACATGAAACAGGAATTGGAAGCAATAAATATATGCATGTTAAGTGAACTGTTCAACCGTTATCTACGTTTCACAAACAGCAACAACAGAATATTAAATATTTTTGTACTGTACTAGCATGTTTTGTGTTTTGTGTAAACCAAAGTACAGAAAGGTGTTTAATTATGTTTTCTAATTCACTGTAAAAGGAGTCAGCCGTGCGGAAACTAAATGTCGGGGTTTGTTCAGCAACTCCTTGCAATAATATTCAAATGATGATTAAACAGTTGGCCACTTTCGTTGGCTACGTTCCTCGACAACTGGACTCAATAGACCTTTCCCCTTTTAAGTGAAATTTTGATCTAGACTAGCCTGGACAAAAATTTCATCACAGCTTAAAAGAGCATACCAAAATTAGTAATATTCCGAAGTTTCGTTGCAAAATGTTGTAAAATGCGGATAATATAGCCTTGCGAAGTTTGCCGTTTTTCAGTCATTTTGTATTACAAACGGGAAATTGATAATCAGTTTGGTCATCTGATTATCAATTTCCCGTTTGTAATGCAAAATGACTGAAAAACGGCAAACTTCGCGATCGCAAGGCTATATTATCCGCATTTTACAACATTTTGCAACGAAACTTCGGAATATTACTAATTTTGGTATGCTCTTTCAAGCTGTGATGAAATTGTTGTCCAGGCTAGTCTAGATCAAAATTTCACTTTTGTGGGGAAAGGTCTATTGGTTAGAGCGCTGATCCGGAATCGCATGACAGACACATTTATAGCAGCTGCTCCTGGTTAGTTCTAAAAAATTTACACTCGAAATCTCCATCTCCAAAATCCTTCAACATTAGTACAGTCAAGTGGGATGCCCGAAAATCGTGATATTTATTCTGAATAGGCCATTTGAACCAGGCCTAAAAAT